GTAAATGGGCCTTAGATTCTATCAAATAGCAGTTGATTAAATAATGTTCTTTTTATTTATTTTTAAATCAAGATTTTATTTTCATTTTATAAAGTTTACGTAAAAAACAAATCTAAATTTCATAATATTCGCGATAGAGCTTTTTTGAATCAGATCAGTATATAAATAAAGATTTTTTTAATTTACTTTTATTTTTAATCAGATAAATATATTTTAGTAAATAGATACATATTTAATTACGCAGAAACGCGAATAAAGAATAGATACAAAATTTAACCGTATATTAATGAAAATATACTATTTCATTAACAGTTTATTTTCGTTTAGTACAATTAATTTCATTAATATGATGGCCCTTCGCGACGCGTCCGTGTTTCGCGCATCGAACGAAAGCGTAAAGATTTTACGCTTATTGCCGGTGATAGTCGGCAGGCAAAAAGGAGTTTCTCCTTTTTATATCGATTTCTGGTATACGAAGCCAGAAATTATTGGCCAAGATCATCAAAAGGTTAGTTTAATTTGGCCAGAAGAAAGAAGACGAAGAGGATCTACAAAGGTAGGTTGGTATGTAACACCAATCAAAGGTACGAAGGTAAATATTAAATGTAAGTTAAATAGTCTTAGTGTCGAGACACTACCGTGTCTCTTGATATTTGGGAGGGTAATCACTTTTGGGAGGGCAAAATTGTCGAAATATAAGAACTCGCAATCTAAATTGCGAGTTCTTACATTTCTAAAATTTTCTTTTTCGTTTAGTATCGCGTTTAGGTCATCCCGCTTATATGATATATAGGCGAATAGGCACGAAATAAAAATACGGGTAGGCAGGACAATAGGTATGAATAGGCTAATTAATATACTATATAAATAGGGAAATATAAGTCCTTATTCCGTTTCACACACGATGCGCAAGATGTATAATTTTATCCTTGTCATTTACCGAATACTAAAGAAAGATGAAATGGTACATCATTCGCATCATACGTGAAACGAAACCATCCATAGATATCATACAATACTTGATAATTGGAAAGAAGGAACTAAAATTGAATAAAACTTTAAATTTTATTCAATTATCAGCATTCTGTTCCAATTAGCAAATATGAAGATAATATGAATTAATAGTTTTACATTTTTTATTGTATTTTCAGCAACTCTTTATCGAGATTTAATTTAACAATGTAAAATGTTACACAGATATTACTTATGTAACGCATTAATGTTGTAATTGTAATTTAATTTTATTGTAAATAAATGTTTATAGTATTGGATGCGTAATGTAAAATTTATGTAAACTATGTCCAGATAAATGCCATCAAATTAATTTTTGTAATTTGTACAATTATACTAATAAATTATACATTAATTAGACTATTAAAGTAATATATATCGGATTTTTGAATATCCTGAATTTAATAGCATTTATCTTGGCTCAGTACACCAATTTGTTGAGTTACTGCAAATTATACGAAATCGGCGAAACGTATAACAACAAGAGATTTTGACACATATGTAATTTTAACTCTTTTTTAATTTGAATTTTATTTTGAATATCAAAAAGTCAACAATTTTAAGTTACTTCTAATTTTGGTGAAAAATAATCGACATATATTTTACATTTAGTATATAGATTTATTTTTATTAAATAAAATGTAGTACAAGTTTGAGCTTTGATTGAGACAATGGTTAAATATTAACTTCTCACTCGTAAAATTTTCGACAAGTATATTTTTAACATTACAGAATTATAAAAATATATTATCATTGGTGATTAATTTTTTTATATGTAAGGGTCTCATTATTGTATCTCCGTCAGATAATTGTCAGTAAATGCCTGGTTCATATACTGATGGAAAATCGAAATTATTTTCATAATGAAGCATTATTCTTCGTTGTTTTCTGTAAAATCTATTTGCGAAGTGTAGTTGGTTCCGTTGGAGATTCTTGTTACAAAATCGGAATTAATCCTGAAGGTTCTATAAGCAGTTCTCGCGCAGAAATAATTTTGTCAATGAGTCAATTACAATTATATTATCTACGATATGTATTTTAAAATTAAGTTACGAATTAATTTAGTGGTATAATTTAGAAAACAATTTTCTTCGCTTTCTTAATTTTACTAAATGTTCTCCTATTAGTAATAATGCTAGTAACAATACTGTCTTAATGACAATAAAACTTTAGTATCTTATAGATATATAATAATATATTTGTTTATACATTCAAATTTCATACAAATGATTTACTTCAATTTTTTTTACTTATGTTTTAATAAAAATGTAGTTACGAATGTATATATTAAATGCTCTAACAGTTAACTGTTTTAAAAATTATTTTCAGGTATTGGACATCCCGCTATTCTAGGATATTAATTAATTAATTAATTGCAGCTTCTCTAATATGTTTATATATCTATATTTATAATAAAATGCATGCACGTATTATAAGATTATATTTAACAAATTTTGATTTTTGTGTCAACTTAGATAAACCAAAATGTTTTGTACTCTTTCAACAATGGTATCATGAATACATGAATTTGATTAAAAAAGTGTGGATACAGAAAATTCGAGATAAGTCGAATGGGTACCCTCATATTAGCGGGATTATAATAATTAAAATGTTTAGCCTGAAATATATGCAGGAAATATTGTCACATTTTATATAATAATTATTTCAATATAAAATAATAGAAAATAATTCTTTAAAATCCCACTATTATTGGGTTCGGCTCATCTCGAACAGTTGGTACCTGAGACACTTTGTATCCACACATATAAGAGATTACAGTAATACATGTATTTTATTATTATTAAATATATTCCTTCGTAACTACTATTCAACAAGGAAATCATTCTATCCATTCATTTTCAATAAAAGATTACAATTTTTAGTAATGGCAGAACATATATTTTCTTGCATACAAATTTTAATATAATGTTAAAGATGCGATAAAAATGGTAATTGTAATTGACACGCTGCTAAAATTATCACATAAACGGTCAGGAAAATTCGAGATTCACACACCTGTAACAAAATCTCATAACAAGACCGTCGCTGTTTGACGGATTGCTTAACTTTTCTTTGCGAATAGATTTTATGAATTTGACGTAGAAACGGAATGTATTAAATTCGCTCCCTACTATGAAGATTTTTCTTTTTTGTATCGGATATTAACCAGCGCGCATCACAAGATAAATATATTAAATTTTATTAGATTTTATACTTAATAAATTTTATAATAAGTCAAGAGTTATAAAAACAAATACGATTCAATTACTGCTAATGTTTAATTAATTTCATTTATAAGTATTTTCTAGAAACTATACATTTAATAAAATTATGTGTTCTTATACGTATTTTCGACGTTTTCGTATAATCCCACTTTATTATATTATATAATGTAATTTTTTAATTATGTTCTCTCTTAATATGATTTTTCATGTATTTTGAACAGCATTTATATTGTATATATTATCTATGATTGTAAATATTATTATTATTATATATTGTCACTGTTATTGTAATATACACATAATTATTGTACATATTATAATTATTATATTATTAAATTGAATAAAGAATTATATCCAAAAATAGCATTAAAAAGTATTATATTTAAAATGTATATAAAAAATAAAAAAAAATAAAAAATATATATAAAAATATAAAACAACAAATATACTTATAAGTAAAAACAGGCTGTTGTTACATTTACGATGGTCCGTTTTTTACGAGTAAGTATAATTTATAAAGAAAAGAGGACCGCCGATAAAATCGACGGGGGTGGTGGAGGGCCTCTCTAGCTCGTTTTTGCTAAATAAAACCTTAAACTGTCACACAATATATGATTGGAAAAGTTTTAAATGTATTCAAGTTCTCTATGTACTAATTACTAATAACTATACATATATTTAGTGAGAACGGGCTAAGTTAACATAAAAAAACAACTTCCTAATTATTCAACTTCCATTTTTATACAGACACGTATTAACAGACAAAATTCGTGAAATTAATTTGTTTGAATATTTGACTTCAAGTTTCTTAAAAGTCAGCAATTTTGATTACCCGAACCACGTCCACTTTCGACGATACGATTTTATCGGCGAGACGGCGGTTCACGAAAATGGACGTGGTACGTAGTTCCTGCAAACGTTGGTGCCGCTAGTGTACGGGGAGTTAGAAGCATTACAAGAAAAAGGCCTCCATGGCCGCTCTCAGGTTTCTCTCTGACGCTAGTATATAACAAACAAAACTTTCTTATTCTAAAAATGTGCTTCCATGTTTCGGCTCATTTTTCAGTCGTCTTCAGAGACAAAGTAATAACATAAATACAACGAGAAGATAGACGCCTGGGGAGTCCTACACATCGAGGTTCTATAATTCTATAATATATGAAGGGATTTCGCGTGTTTCGAATATTTGTGAGAATTGGCGCGAGTACCGTTGGACCTCTGGTGGCGGTCGCCTCTTAATCGATTATACTAGCGTCCTCTCGCGGTAACCACTTCAATTTTAGCAAAAATATTTTTTAGGGCGGGGGGGAGAGGCTTGAATGATAAACAAATAGACCAATCACAATCGCAATCGCTACGGGAAATAGAAATGTTCGAAGACGCTAAACCATGATTGGTCGGTTCCCTTTAATGGCAAGTGTCTCGTTGCTGTCCTTTTTTTTTACGCGTGAGATGCTCTTGACTGTTGACAAATTCTCGATTTTGCTCTGTTTCGCGAATTAAAGCGGATAAGCTTATCGCTCGGAATATCTTTGTGCCGCACATAAAATCACTTTTAGTCTCCGTTCCACACCCTTCGCCGTTTCTTCGAGCGAGAGTTCAGCGATTATCGCGAAGTGACAAAAGTGACATTTCCTTTTGTTTTGGTCGAGCTTCCACGTTTCGTGTTAATCAGCTGTTGCGATTTTTCGAAAGATTGTACTGAATAGGGCATAATGCTCTAAGTGCTAATTTCTGAAATTAGTCGAGCTGAATCCTTGGAAAATGAATTTCTCGGAAAAAGGACTGGATAGCTTATTCAAGGAAGAATGGATGTCGAAACTGGAGGAGAGCACGTACATACAAAAAATGTCAATGAACAATCTAATCATGAACTATCTAATAACAGGTAATGAATTCTAAACTCTATCGCAATATGAAAGAATCGTCGAAGTAATGAAATATTTTGATGATCAGAAGGGTTCAAGGAAGCTGCCGAGAAGTTCCAGCAGGAGTCGGGAGTAGGTCCGACTGTAGAACTGAGCTCTCTGGATGACAGGATCCGTATTAAAGACGCCATACATAGCGGTCGTATTCAGGAAGCGACAGACTTGGTGAATCAGTTGCATCCTGAATTATTGGATAACGACAGATATCTCTACTTTCACCTGCAACAGTTGCACCTGATCGAACTGATACGCACAGGCAGAGTCGAGGAGGCGCTTCAGTTTGCCCAGGATCAACTCAGTGAAGCTGGCGAATCAGATGATAATATATTGTGCGAGTTGGAACGTACATTGGCACTATTGGCTTTCGATGAACCACATAAGAGCCCGTTCAGCGATCTTTTACATCCCACACACAGGCAGAAAGTGAGTATTGTTGGAGTACCATGGCATATAGAAAAACTTGAGCAGGAAGACTCTAATAGTAAAGGATTGCAAAAGGAATAATATGGTGTAATAAGCTGTAAGTCTTAAGAAATCAATCAATTACATTTGAATTTAAGGAGAATAATTAACTATGATTGGTAATTTCTTATAGTTTATACAGCTTACTCCACAATATTACTCCCAGTATAGATGATCCATAAGGAAATCAACATGTTGGATTTGCTGCTGCTTAGATTATGGCCTTATGATTTCTACTGTGATTGGCCAATATGTTTACTTTTTACGTTCTATAATAAGCCTTGCTTTTTACTAATTTCATCTTGTTACGTCCTCATTGTTGTATCGTTACAGATTGCAAGTGAATTGAATGCAGCTATATTGAAAATGGAACATAGGGAATCTACCAGCCCCCGTCTCAATAATCTGGTGAAGATGATATTGTGGGCTCAAGAGGAATTAGATAAGAAAAAAGTAAAATATCCCAAGATGACCGATATAGGTAGTGCCACAATTGAAGAAACAAAATAATTTTACAGTAGACAGACTGAGCATTTCTCGGTTTTATTTGTGAATGCGATAATGAATGTCTTAAATTGACCTTTAGATGTAATTTTGTGTAAATTGCTGTTCATTTTGTAGGAAATTATATTAGAATTTTAATCCTATATATAACAAATTAGAGAGAAAGGTGATGTGTAGAACCATTAATCTATTATAATAAGAGTGTAATATGATTAAAGTGATACATCACTCATTGTTACAAATACTATAAGAAATAAGAATGATTATTGCATTTATTTCTTATGTCTTTCGGAATGTAATATTAACATAACAGGTATTTTCAGAGTTTGTGTACATGCAATATTATTTGCTAGGAATAGACACAGTAATCATGCGCAAATTAGGACTTACATATGACTTCGGCTCTTAGCCTACATAATTGTAAAGATACATACAAATATAACATATGATAATATGCATATTACAATAATCTTAAAAAAGTAACAGTCTTCACAACCTTATCATAATGATTTCAAAGTACGGAAGTTTATTTTTAGGATAGTAGATAATAATTTTATTTAATCTTTAAGTTAAAGTGTCCCGTTTAAAAGTTTACTTCCAAAAGATTAATATATTGTTCATCGTAATTTCCTTTCTACAATTTTTAATATATTTCAAATGTAAAGAGTTCAATGTATAATTATTACTAAAAAAAACAACTACCAACCAAACACATATTCCATTGCTTTTGACACTAAACTGGCAGACTTCTGTGGAACATTTTCTGGCACCTGCGCGGTTTGCGGGCTAAAATGTTGATTGTAGCCCGCTGCTAAAGATCTCAGCTTCCGTCGTCTCGCCGTAGGCGATGAGTTGAAGGGAGACTGACTGATTCTACCCATTGAAAGTGATCTCATACTTCCGTTCAATTTGGTACGGTTTTCCTTGTCGCAACCCAGAACGACACCCTCGTCCGTACATGGTATGACGCCGATCATAATCGTACCCGAAACAATACTACCATTGCACATAAGAGCCTTTTGTGCTTCCTGCTCCGACGCACACTTCAAGTGTATCCAATTGCTTTGGGGTTGTGGAGCTGGATGTTTATCCACTATACGTACTCTGCTGGAGATGTGAGATAGAACAGCGTTGACATCAATTGGTAAGAAACCGAAAACCGTTACCCATTGCAGTAGACTCTGCGACTCGCTCGTGCTCAAATTGAGCGAACTATCTGGAAATACCAGCGGACTAGTTAATGTAGTCATCATGAGTTTGGATTGATTTATAGGTGTGGTAGCTGGATTTGTGACTGCCACAGATGACATGTGCGTGACTTCTAGAGCGTCGAATAGTCCTCGCGTAGGTGGTCCTCCAGTGTGATTTTTTGTGCTTATCTGTGGCGTGCTAGGAGTCGTAGATCCAAACACTGCCTTCTGACGATTAGATCGGTAATCTGGAGAGCCGTAGGAAACGGATGACATCATACTGGTATTGGTGATGTTCAAATGACGTGGATTATCTTGAGGACTTATTATGTTGATCTTTGCTGGCTGGAATTTTAAAGATAGATATTAGCAACGTAGACTTTGCATGTTTTAAATTAATAATAAAATGTATTTCTTACAGTATTAGTGTCACCCAAGAGAAAACTTGGCAAATACGAGGAAGAATTTCCTGGACTACCAGGACTCTGAACAGGACTATTCATTGGTGATCCTAGAGTCATAGGCTCCATCTAATGGAATGATTAATTTTACAAAATTTGAGTAATAATAAGAAAATATTCTATTCCACATTCTAAAAAATTAATATAAAGTAAATATTATTTTATACAGAACGAGAAAATTAAAAAAAATTTTTTTAATTATTTTTAAACTGGCATTAATATTTTCAACTAGACAAACTTGAAATATTCTGATCGTATTATATTCGAATTTTTATTTAAAAAAAAATGTTTTGTCTTCAAAGTGTCAATTAATTTTATAAAGTTCGAGTAAGATTCGAGATAATAATATTAACTAAACTTTATTTTAATCTAAAAAGTCAACACAAAAAGTAATTATTATTTTATTTTATATAGAACGGAGAGAAAGTTTTTTAAACTTTTTAGGTTATTTTTAGCTGACACAAATATTTAAAATAACTAACTAGACGACCTTGATACACTTAAGTCATATTATACGTGGATTACTTACGGCCTCAAAAAATGTTTCACCTCCAAAGTCACTTACTAATCACTACGAGAAATAATAATTATTTTTTTGGAGGAAAAACGTTTTCGGTTTTATCGAATTCATCTACGTAAAGAGGGCTCTGGAAGTCAGCTGGGAAAAACGGACGGACGGGCGGGCGCGCGCGGAGCGAATCCCCAACCTCGATGGATCCTTGATGACGCCATGATCTACGTCGCCGTGTCGCACAGCCGCGGAACGTGTAGGCGCGGATCCAGCCAGCCAGGCCCCCTTTTTTAATCATGAGTATCATCGGCCGCGGGTCCTTCCTCCGGACGTGAGAACGCATCAGCGACCGCTGTGTCTAATCCGGTAATCGCTCGCATCCCGTAACGTCCGTCCGTCCGCGCGGATCGCGCCTCTTGACGTTGCGTAAAGAGCAGAGCGGTAGAGATAAAAAGCGGCTGCCGAGGTGTGTGCCCGCGTGAAGAGGATCACGGCCCTCTTATCTCCCGCACGCGCGTACGCGTGTGACTCGCCGTGAGAAAACCTAACCCGTGGACCTGTGAGGGATCGAATTCATCGGCGGGGGTCCGCACGCACCGGTCGCCGCGCGACCCCCCGGGGAGAGGGCTCCGTTGACTCCTGGATCATCATCTTCTCTACCTACGCTCCGAATACGGAAACGGGCGATCCCTCCTCCCTCCCTCGGCTCTCCTCCCCCCTCCAGCGAATGACACATCTCGGTGGAACGAACCGAAATCGTAAACCGTAAATAATAGCCGTCAAATTAGAGATAGATCCCGTAGATATATCTGTCGTATCGCGGTATGTTTGACGTTTTTCCGATGACAAATCTGTGATTTATACATGTCCCTCTTTCTCTTTTCTGTATTAGAGTGAAATCAAGGTTATACATGTTTGCTCGTTTTTTTTCTTGCAGGAGGATAGCAAGAATGTCTGTGCCACCACCGCCACCGCCTCCGCAGGCCGGCGCTTCTGCTGGCCCGCCGATGGGCGATAACAGAGGTTTATTATTGCAGTCTATAAGGGCAGGAAAAACTCTAAAGAAGACTGTTACTGTGGATAAAAGCGCACCTGCAATTGCTGGTAAATTATCGGGATTAAATTATATACACTAAGGTCGGTATTCATAGTCAGTTCTTATATTCAAGACCGTCATAAGATCAGTTTTGAGGTGTCATGAACCAATCAGACAGCTGCATTAGCATCTTAAGACATCACTTAAGACGTTCTTAAAATAAGAACGGACTGTGAATACCGCCCAAGAATGGTGTTCATAGGATGGTATTCCTAATCGATTCTTATATTTAAGACTGTCCTTAAGTATAGTCTTAGATACCATAAACTAATCATTAGCTAATCAGCATCTTAAAATATTACTTAAGACAATCTTAAAATAAGTACATATTGCTTAATTCTTATTTTAAAACTATCCTAAATAAGATGCTAATATAGGTTTTCTGATTGGCTTATGATAACTTAAGACTGTACTTAAGACAGCCTCAAATATAAAAATCAGAATGGTAGTATTCATAGCCAGTTCTTATTTTAAAACTTTTAAATAATATCTTGAGAGTCTGTGGCCAATATTCATAGTTTGTTTTTATTCCCAGTGTTAATTAATGTCTATGCATTCTGTGATTGATTGAAATTGTACTTAAAATAGTCTTCAATATAAGAATTAATTATGAATACTGGCCTAAGAGCAAGAGCATGCAATGGACAAAGTAACGTCAACTGTTGTGTCATTTATGAAAAATCCCTGACAATACATAAAATTATGCACATGACATAATGTTAATTGTTTTTCGTATATGATACAAGAATTTGCCGATTTTATCTATCATTTATTCGCGTTCTAAGCTTTCCAGCAAAAGACATAGTAAAATTGTCTGCTATATCATTGTCTGTCAGTGTTAAATAAAGACACAGTTGACATATGCGTCATTTCATTGAATATCAAGAAGGAATCATTGAATACTAAAAAGGAGAGATTGGTATTTGTGCCACATATATATCTCTAAAAGGAAAACAGCCAGAGTAATACAGCGAATCATTTCGTCTTTGTTTAACATTGGCAAACAACAAGAATGTAATGATTCATTGTGTTCCAAAGTGTCATCTATATATTGTTAAAAAGCATCCTAGGTCTGCATATAGCTATTAAATTCAAAAGCAAAGTATATAATGTAATCGTTATAAAAAGTTATAAACTAACGAGAAACGCTTGTTTCGCAGGGAAAATTAAAGGCGAATCAACGAGCTCTTCGTTAAGCAATAATAACAGTAGAACTAATAGTTCTAGTGCAATTAGTAGCAGCAGCAGCAATTCCAGTAATGGTGGACCCATGTCGCTCGGCGGTTTATTCGCGGGTGGTATGCCAAAATTAAAACCTACGGGACTGAGAGGACATATGACCGAGAAGGAGGGACATAGTGTAAATAATTCTAGTTTTCTTCACTCGTCACCCGGATCGTCTCACAGCATAAAACGTGGCCCGCCACCAGTTCCGCCACCAGCCGCGCTAAAACCGCAGTTATTCAGTCAGGTAGAAAACTACCTGTTTAATCGGTTCTCACTATGTCGTGCGTATATCTGTAAAATATTTAATCTCACACAGGGGCAAAGCACCGATTCTGCGACGGTCACTCCAGAGGTTACGCCTAGAGGATTCGGGAAATCAACCATCGTGCCTAAACTAGCGTTGTCTGCCACTTTGCACAAACCGTCACCGCCGCCTAAAAAGCTGAGTTTAACGAGTAGCGCGAGCGTGGCGAGAGCACAGAGTATGCGACTACCGCGATCGCCGCCGGTCCTGGTGCCAACAACACCGTCTTCTTTGCACCAATCGCAGGATTGTTTGAATGAGGCGACAACGCCGCAGCCCACGAGACCCGCGAATCGAATTCTCAGGCCGCCCGTGACGAGGCCACCGTCACCGCCAATTTCGCGAGTGATCGTGCCTACAATGAGACCACCATCGCCGCCGGCACCACCAGCCTCGCGATCGCATACGATGCCCGTGACAGCCATGAGAGCGGCGCCGCCGCCACCGTCAAGGGTCACGGTGACCGCACCATGTATACCGCCACCACCACCACCGCTTCCACATCGTCCTGCACCCACGCATCAGAGATTGGCACCGCCGCCGCCACCGCCACCAACACCTCCTACCAGAAGTCTATCGGTGCGCAACGGCGGTGCTCAAGCAGGTTCTGTCGACCTGGAAACGCGATTTGCTGAAATGTTTCATACCGTGTCGAGTTTTCCGCAGCCGGAACCCTTCAGGGGTTTCACCAAGGTTTATAGTAGCAGGAATGGTAAGAATACTCGGCCAAAAATATTCTTTGACTTATTTCTATAGCACTTTACGCTTGAGATAAATGATGAGTTTTGTACATTCTTCTTTTAGTTCTTAGACTAAACAGAAACACACAGTGCTTTCTACACATTCAACACGTGTCCTTTAATCGTATCCTGAATAAGTATGTGCATGTTGCTAAAATTTATTACTACAATCCCTTTGACGCATATAATTTTTACTTTTTACTCACATATGCATGTTTTAATAAATACAAAACATAATGCATTATACATGTCACATTGTTTTTTTATGATATTGTTTTTCAAGGTTTCTTTCAAATCATTAACTTCTGTTGACGCTGCTTCTCTACTTTCCAGAATACAAGACATGAAGACATTAAATGCGTATGACACAAACAGGTTATAATTGTTTATAACCAGGCATGAATACATATATAAATTAAATTGCATGCTGCTAATTGCACTTTTATGAATATTCATAATGAAATTTATAAGTTTGTACATCGATTCGTTTGAAAAGTAATCGTGACATTTAAAAAATTACAGCAGCAAAGCAACAAGCACCAGCTCCTCCACTTCAACCATCTTCTACTCCTAGCACACTACATTCGTTAAATACTTCGTCTGGGAGTAAACAGTGGCAACACAATGCGACGTCTTTGGCATATTGAAATCTGTGCATACTTAAATCAATTGCTTCGTGCATTGATTATTGTTTAAACACTTCTCGATGCTGCCACAATAAAATAAAATATTAAATTAAGTGAGCGCGAAAAGGTGTGAATCGGCAAAGTATATAAAGTTTGAGAGAAAGAGATTTCGAGAATTCGCGAACCCAGTTATACAATAAAACGTTTTAGACAATATTTTCTGTACAGTTTATCTTAGAAAAAAAAATATTTAATATAGATTATAATACGTATATACATACATATATATATAAAATATATTTTATATATATGTACATGTGTGTATATATATATAGATATATAAAGAATCGTTAGAAACTTTAAGCCTGTTATTATCTAACAAAAATCTATAAAAGAGATTTAAGTGGAAGGCACATTTTTTTCATTAAAAAAACTACATACTCATTTATTTCTCTTAATCGTTGTATTATATTTTTCCTAATTTTATCTTTGTAAACTTAATAAAAATATCACGTCAAAATTATTAATTCAGAACATCGTATACATTGTATCGATGTATAATTCATTGGCCGTTGATAGTTATTTGTTTAGACATTAACAAAAAGTCAAAATATATAAAGATGCAACTTATTTTTCAATACTATAATAAACGATTGCACACACATACACACATAGCAGCAATTCGTTGACTTAAGGATATTGTATATTAATATTGTATAATAAAGATACAATCTTTATATATACGTGCAGGATATATGGTTATAGATATATTCTCAAATGAAATAGAACGTACTTTTATCTAACAATATTTTTTATTACTTTTTTTTTATAATGGTAATATCGAATGTGTAATTCAAATTCTATTACATATCAACTGTCATAGTCGAACGGTTTGTTTTAATACAATGCATTTTAAAGAAAAATAAATACAATAATGACAAATGCTTGTTTAGGACAAATAGTTACATTTTGTAGTTATCAAAAAGGAAAAGGAGAGATGTGTTAAATTAATAAATAAATTGCGCACATAACTGTCTATATTCGTTTCGGGGAAAAAATATTTAAAGAATAAATAAGTTACCTTTGGCGATGAAATGTCTCGAA